CTCTTCCCTCTCTCGTCGGACACCCTTTCTTTGTGGTGTGCCTGCCGAGCGAGAAAACAAATAAAAGGGAGAGAAAGAGGAAAAAAAGCGTCCTAAAATGTTACACTTCTGCCGCAGGTGCGATCGTATTTTGGGGTACAGGTGCGATTGCAATTCGTATATATATATATATATATATACCTCGATTCCGGGGCGCGCGTTATCGCGCAACGCGGAACGTTGTGCGGGCTTTCTTAACTTTTGTGAATCGCATTATGCTAATTATTCGCGTTCGGGACTCATTACGCAGTCCACGCGAATTCGACAGCTCGCGACGTGTATATATATAACGACCCCTCCTACCGATACCGTATCCGAGTAAAAAAAAAATATAGCCGAACGTTAAAAATATACCGAACGTTATCTCTCCTAATGACTCGCGACACCCTTTCCGGCCGCTGGCCGCGACGCGCATGTTAGCGTTTCTTTTTTTGTCGTCTTTAATGTGTCTCTCGGTGATTCACTTGCCACGCGTTTTCCAACGCCGCTTGACATAATCGACAATACGCCGATTACAGCACGAGAGAGAGAGAGAGAGAGCGAGGTTAAAAAAAAAAAAGGTTTTCTCGTCGGCGATCTGCTGCCGCTCGGCTGCCGAGTAACGGCTGACCTTTGGCAGCCGGCGAACTTGTCCGCGTATCTGTGCACGCCACGTGCAGTTAATTATACGAGTCGCCACTTTGTGCACGAACGCCGCGTGCGCGCGCGCGCGAGCGCGATTGCATAATGAACGTTTACGTCGTACGAACGGTTTCGTCGAAAACAACGGTCATCCTTCCGCGCGTCAGCCGCGCGCCGATGAGGAACGGTATAGTGAGTGAACGGCCGTAAAGCACCATTGCAATTTGCTGGCCGTCGCGGATGTGCTGCATGCACGACGATGTGATGCCTGTCGACGCAGTTGCACCAAGGCCGGCAAGGAGCTTCTGCGGCGCAGAGAATTTCGAAAAGGGCAGCCCGCGGTATACTCCCAAAAGGACAAAAAACACAATCGCGGTGCACGATCGCGGAGCACCGAGGTTTTTGCACGTTACGTCGTTTTACCTGCGTCTCTCGCAACATCCCCCTCGGGTGCACACTTACCTATCGTTATCGCGTGTCGTTACGTACGTATAATGACTTTTTTCGTCGTTCTCAGCGGCCGTAAAGATAAACCGCGGTTTGACTAATTGCGTGAAAATCGCCGTGCTCGGCGTGCAGTCGTCGCGCGCGCTGCACCGTTCAGTTACATAATTCACCGCTGATTTTTCGTTCGGGGGGCCTCTATTAGTCCTCGGGCGACGGTCTAGCCGAGAGAGGTCGATCATGGGTGGTACTTTTACAACGGTATAGTGAGTAGTAGGTGGAGATGTGGTCCTAAAACTGGTTTAGGAAAGTGACCGGGGCGGCTCCTCCTTTTATTCCTCTTCGCTTTTTTTGTGTAGTGCTCACGCTCCTCTCCTCCCCTCGTCATCCCTATCTTTTGATTCTTGTTTCACGTCAGGCTCCTGCGCTCACGAGACCACGAATGATGCGCAAAACGTGGTGTCGATGGCCTGCTACCCGGCGATCATCCGTGCGCTGTCGCAGGTGCACGCGTTATTTTTTTTTCTCTCTCTCTTACTTTCTCTCAGCCGTTTATCATTAATTATATATGTTAATTAAGCATTTATTTTATATGGAAGCGATTTCGTTCTCGACTTATCGTCATTCCGGCTCCGGCTGCCTTACTACTTTGTCACAATCGCCATTTTTTTCTTTTTTAAGTGCGTGACCGATGCAGCCGTGCAATTAATGCGACGGCGTCCAATCAAGTGATTCATTGCCCCTCGAATTTAACGGCTCGCGTATAAATCGACTCATTAGATATACGTCGCTTAGGAGAGCCCTTTCGTTCGTGCGGCAAGCGCTCGCTGCACGGCTTGCTCGTCGTCGTCGTCATGCGATGATAAATATCGTTATCCTTGACGGCGGCGGGAGAGAAGAAGATTCATCGTCGCGCGTGCATCGCCGGTCGGGAGATCGTCGATACACGTTACGTAAACGGCTCCTCCGCGTGTCGTGCGCACGTGTATTAGTTTCATTTGCATTTTCCGCGTTGCCGATCAAACGGAATCCAGGCTGACGCGAGATTGCGATGATACACCGCGCGCGCCCCCCGTTCGTATAATAAATCGTATGACGTTTCCTGCACTCGCGCCACAGCGCGCGGCGATGGATAGAGTCGACACGTGTGTACGTTTCGATGCGCCGCGCGCCGCCGAACCGGAGATTTCAATGCTCGCCTAAGCGCGATGCGTCGCGCTTCGCCGTTCGGGCGGGAATAAAAAAACTTTTCTCCTCTCGACGATTCTCATTCTCTCGTGCATTAAACGAGCGCGTTGAAGATTCGTTGTCTTCCTTTCTGCTGAAAGTTTCACATACGAATTCACTGAATACAATTCAATATATATGTAATTTCAAAGAAATATTTAATTATGTTTATGTTAGCTTTCGAAATATTTTTTGTTTTTTTTAATGAAACAAATTTCTACGAAAATTTAGCTTTAAATCGCGCTTTTTCAGCCTCGAATGATTCCTATAAGCTTCCTGCGTTGCTAAATATGAATCGTAACTGCTCATCAAGTATTTTCTTTGCGTAATTTTTTAGCATCTTTTCTCGGGAGATTGAGCAGACGTACATTATAATTTTCTCGTTTTTCTCACTCTTTCTCAGTCTTTCAACGTTGCTAACTTTAATAGGTACGTACATATAGGATCGACTTACGTGGCATAACTGTCCTGTAATGAGCGCGAACTTGGACGTGTCTGTTATGGATTCATGGTCGCGGCCTTAAAACGCCGTGGCGACTATATACTCTGTTATCGTTGAATGTCGATGAGTTTCGCAGCTGGTATTTGGCAAGTCTGTTAGGCAACGGAGCGCCTCCTCCCGTTAGAGAGCCGTAGGAGCCTTCGGTTTCGCGCGAAAGTTGCGCAACGCGCGACTCGCAGCTCTCCGCTGTCAGTGATCTCGGCGACGGCCAAGGCGACCGGCATTAGAATCTCTCGTCATGGCACGCAGCCGGGGAACGGTGGGGAAGAACGATGGATAGAAGGACGTAGACCGACCGAGAGTCGCTGACTAGAAATTCAACACGGTGTACGGAACTCTCCTAGCATTCCCCGACGATCTTATCGTAAAGCGACTGAATTCAGGCTGCTATTAAATTCGAACCCTTTACTCGGTCTTCTCTTTTCCAAATATATAAAATATATCTGCATTTTCTTACGAATTTTCTGTAAGTATTTCTGTTTGAATATGGAAAAAATATTTCAATAGTGTATTCGAATATTAATATCGGACAGTATACAATGTGCTGATTTATAACTTTTTCTGCAACTTTTCGGGTTTGAAGAGGAGAGAGAGAGAGGTGATATACTTAGATAATTTATCCCGCAAAAAATCCTCGCGCGCATGCGTGGTTCTTTACCTTTATAAATGCGCGGTATTACTCACAATCAGGTGCGCTAGATACATGAATGCTAATTAGATGCAATCAATTATTCTTCAACCTTTTTTTAAATTTATTTACCAGACGCTCGATCAATTAAGACGATCAATTAAGACAAGACTGGAAGTCAGCGGGGTTTCCGCAGGACTGCTTACACTTCACGCGATCACGCGCGATTCCGTAAACACACACATTTTACAAATTCTTACGACCGGACTGCGACTTGTGCATTTTTCATTTTCTAAAGCGACGTGCGTACTACTTTCAGCACAGGCGTCATGCAACTCTTTCTCCGAAATTATTTCTCCGCGCTTATACGATCCTCGCTTAACCACTAGAATTTTAGAATGCGTCGTCCCGAGCCTGATGGTCGCGTACCTCGATCGCAACGTCACTCCGTACGAAGCCTGTGGCGATGTGCGGTGCGTTTTATGCAATTGCGGTGCGACGCACGCTCATTCCACTTAGCCGACGGCCGCGCCAAAAGAGGATCGCACTGTCGCACCGTGTGCGTGTGGAATGCGTTAAATTCGACGCGACAAAGGGAGTTTAGCACAGGGCCGGCGCGATCAGCCGCGTGAAACTAGGCGGCTTATTA